TTTAGTTGCCTGGCTGCCGTGATGACCCAAGAACTCCAGTACTTTTTAAATCGCGTATCTTAGGTAAACATTTGCTGTTTGTGGTTATCTTGAGTTCTCTGCCATTTGCTCTTAAGCTGGCCATTCATGGATCCAAATTCAGCCAGTTCAGTAGTGACCAGCCGAATTTCGATCCATGTACGGGCAGGCTGGTTTATTGATCGACTTGTGTGCAACCAGCTTATAGCCAGCAACACTGATCATTGTATTCTGATGGAGTTGAAGGCTCCCTGCTGTCAGAACACAATACCACATTGAGTGTGTGGAGGAGAAAATTGGATATTTTTTTCATTCAACCATTGAATGAGAAAAAATGATCAATGTATGGGCTGCCTTACTGTGGTTTGCAGGCTTTGCTTTTGCAATGTTAGCATGGCTAGAGACACAACATTGTGTAAGTAGATTAGCATTTAGCAGTATACTTTGTAATATTTTTTTATATTCACTAAAATGCTTGAATATTCAATAGGAACTTTAAGAAAATATGTTGTTTTAATGCATTTTAACAGGATTGTGTCATATGGCCATTTTAGATCCACCAGTGCTTAGCGGAGCTTTTCTTATATGACAATGCAAGGGCTAGCGGCCACTTGCATGTTTGTACTGTTGAATGTGCCAGACAAGCCAGAACCTGAATCGGTCTTACAGGTAGATTCAGCATAGCTGGATGTGGTCAAGGTGTGTCTCTTCCTCAGCAGTGGCTTGTCATCACGTCTCTCCTCTCTGCTTCTCATCTGGCTTCCTTAGAGCCCAGAGATCAAGCTTTGTTCCCCCAGGCTGCAGATCTGTAGGCTCTGACAAGGGTGGGAAGTGTGCGAGATGAGAGAAGAGTTTGTTTTGGAGGCAGATAGAACCGTGAAAGCTGAGAGACAAATTACAATGGACTGTCACACGGTTTGGGTGATGTAAATCCTCAAAGACACAGCAAAGATACAAATAAAAACCACAAATGCCATTGTGGAAAAAAAGACCTTGTAGCATTGGTAAACAATCAACAAAGCTCATTGTATCCTAGCTGGAGTTCTGTCCTCTTTTAAGGGGCTCGTTTCTTAGTTTTACTTTATTTAAGTGACTGGTAGATTCCAAGTGGATATGTGTCTTTAAAGTAGAATTGAACTGAATTTTTTTTTGTTATATGTGGAAGAATTAGAAGAACCTCTTTTAGGTCTTTACTGTGGTCTGTCCCCTTGTCCTTGATTTCCATACGGAAGCTAAAGAACAATATATTCAGCTGGCACAGGTATTTGTAGATCTGACTATAATCTAATTATTAGCCTGAGATATCTGCATAGCTATTGAATGGCAGCCTTCAAACAAATTTGGTTTGAGAGCCAGACATGTGCATTGTTTTGGTACCAGGGCAAATACACATCAGGCTACCCAAGAAATCCAATCTGCACATAATGTATTTGGACATTTTAGGAGAAAACTGCAATGGATTATTGTGAGTTTTAATAAATACCAAAAGATTAAAATATAAGAAAAATTAAATGGTGATTTTCAAATCAGACCTGTGGCAACTCTTCCCCATGCCATCATGATCATGTACCATTCCGCATAGGTTTCTGTTTTGTTGTGGTTTTATCTGCTCCTGCTGTATTCCATAGGAAATATGGAGAATTAAGAATTCGTTGGGTTGTACCACAGTTTGGATTAAAGCCAGACAAGGTCTGCCATGGCCTCAAAGTAAATGGAGAGAGGCTGAGACTTCATGGAATGGGGAGCTCTTTTCTCACAGTCCAGTGAATGATTGTACCATGGTATAGTCCACCCATAACCTATCCATAGGCCCTAGTGTCTCAGTGGCTAATACTTTAGGTGGACCTGTTGTTTGGGTTTGAAAATCCACAAGAGTGATCTCAAGGCACAACTGCTGGATGGATAATTTGAGCAGGTTATAAATAGCCATTTATTTACTGATCATCATTGTCAGGATAGAGGTAAGAGAGACAGTGTAGGTCACAACTTCTGAAGAACTGCATGAAGTTCAGACATTTGGTTCCTGTTGAGAAGTGGCAAACTCCTCTGTGCCTGTTGGTTCAGAGAAGAGTAGCCATGCATGTCCTACTGCAAAAGGATATACAGCTATACCATGACAACCTGGGCTCAAAGCAAGTTATCATGGGATGCTGAGTTCTAATCTGTTAAGTGCTGGTTTCTCTCCATTGGCACCCACACCAACTGTTTAAACCTCTGGTCCCTCTCCTTTATGTCTAATTTCATAGGGTAAACTTAACCTGTCTACTTTCACAGCTTGCCATTAGTTCATAAATGAAGCACACAACATCATTGAAGGATTGTTATCAACCAAACGTTTCTTTTAAGTATGACATTAAATGCCTGTCTTTCACCAGTATGTAGGTGGTTCTCAGAGGAAAAAAATTAATGGCTGTTGGCAATGTGAAATAACTGTCATCCTAAAAGCATATTAATTACCACAGGAATTTCACAGTTTTACCTGGACATGCAGGTCTGAAGACAAAAGGAATCAAACACGTTTTCTTACATCAAAATACATTTCCCAGTGTCCAATGCTATGTTTTAATGGTTTGGCAGCAAGGGATAGAGTAACTGTAAAGACAGTGCCTCCAAGGGAAAAGGACGTGTGCTCTATCACTTACCTGAATCATGGGATGTCATTTGAAATATGTCTAAACCCCAAGGAACAAAAATGAAATATATTACAGATTACTGTTGGTGGTTACATGGGTTTTCTTTTTTTCAGGCAAAGTACATTTTCTGTTTCTACAGAAAAATTCATGCTGATTCTGATAGAAATCATAAATCTTTGTAATTTCCTAGGTACTGAACTAAAATCTCAAACAATGTTATGAGCTTTACAAGCTGTCTTCTATAAACTAGAAGACAACCGACGGAATTTTGGTACATGTGTACTTCCCTCTGTTCAACAGAAGCTGGTCTAACAGTTATGCTGGAAAACCAGCATTTGATCACTGTTTGCAGCCATTGGCTGCATTGCTGATCTGTGTATTCTGGTGAAGGGGCAGTCCCCACTGTTGGAATACAAAGTCACTTGTGTTGATATGGGGATCTGTGAGGTTTTTTTTTTTCGTGCAATTCGCAATTTGAACAGAAAAGCCTCAGTGTGTATATCCTGCTTTAGTGTTGTTACAGAAAGTATGCCACTGGCAGGGTCACCAGGCGAATATAAAGGAGAAAAAAGCCTTAAAAAGGAAACTAATTCAGCTACCACATCTAAGAGCTGGCAAGCTTTTGTTCCTGTGTTTAGGAATGCTTTATGTTTAATGTGAGGCCCTAAAGCCTAACTTTAACCAAAAAGTGGTGATGACCCAGGAGAAGGGGTGGTCCGCACCATATACTACTATGCAGCTTACAGTGACAAACAGTGTCAGTGGGATGCCAGGTGCTGGAGAACAACACCTTGCAGATGAAACAGTCAGGCGGAATGAATAAGCAAACACTGAACTGTAATTTCCATCCAGCAACCAACCACCAATGCTGGGGGAAGGTGGGGTTATTGGTACAACCATCCACTGACCACCAATGCTTGGGGTGGGGGTGCACATTACTACCATGCAACACTAATGAAGGGGGAAATTTTGCAACTACAAACACTGGTGCTGGGGGGGTTTATTGCTGATGATGGCACCAATGTTGGGGGTTAGTTTTACCCATACTACAAGCCATATACTGTGAAGAAACACCCACTTTGTTGGCCATGCCTCCAGGTGTTCGGAAGGCCATATTTTTCTTGTTGATACCTTCAAGGCATGCCTCCTAACTATTTTCAAATGTTGGCATCTATGCGGTAGATAGCATCTCTGACCTCTTACACTGATATGTTGAGTTCAGTCTCTTCATAAAGTGACTTATTTACAGCTGCTTCTGAACTCCCTACACAGGCCATTTTTGCTCCCACCCCCAGCGTGCATGACATTTAATTTCCTGATTAATACGGAAAACTATTTTGATGTATTGGAGGGAGGGGTGTTAACAGGGGCGGACTGACAACTCATGGGGCCCCCGGGCAATAGGGGATCATGCAGCCCCTGTGTCCTAGCCCAAACTCAAAAAAGCCTATGAAAAAGGTTCCAGGGGCATCTCATGGGGCCCCCTACTGACCCCGGGCCCTCGGGCATTGCCCGAGTTTCCAAATTATCAGTCCGCCCCTGGGTGTTAAAAAAATTATCTAACTTGTGTACCAGATATGCTGCATATGCCACTGGAAAGCTTTTACTGTTGTTTGCCCTTTTGAGGAGATTCTCCCTAACTTTCTGTTCTAAGTGACAAGGTGTCAGATGGCCGAAAAGTAATCAGATTTTGCAAAATTTCTGGTGAGCCCCATACCTCTCATTTCTGTCCTGGTTAAAATGTGAAACAATTGCTCTCAGATTGGATAATAGGAGTCCGACAGGGGTTCTAACTAATTCTCACTGTGTTTAAAAAAAGTTTTGACTAGAGCTGGACTTCACTATTACTTCAAAATTGACCAAAACACGATAATAGGTGACTGAGTCTGCATCTTGGTTTGTTGGGGCTTCTCTAGTGACTAGCTCCACTAAATCTAGCTAGTTACACATAGTTACACCTACAAGACACTAGCCAATAAGAAATAACCCATAAAAGTCATATTTTAAGGACCAGTGATGACTGCTTTCTTTGCTATACCCATAAGATAGGCACTCCAGAATCCTGGCCCTGGTCTAAATCCTACTTGACTTTATGAATGTCAGTATCTTAGTTTTCTGTGCCAAGAGTCTGACACTGTGAACACCCAGTATGGGTTTTTCAACTCAAGGAACAACTGATGTTTTACAGATGATAATCTGTTTTGTAGCACCTTGGAAATATGTTTCATATTCGTTTTCAGGATAAAATGTAATCATCTTTCTTTATTGTACAGGTTAAGTAGTTCCACAGAACAAAGCACATCCTCACGTCTTATCCGCAAGCACAAACGGAGGCGACGGAAGCAGAAAATGCGTCAGATCGATAGAGTAAGTAATGGAATTTTTTTTCCCCTGGCTGATTGCCTATGCCTATGGCAACCTGTCAGCTTCCAGCTTACAATCTTCCAAATGATGAGCTGATAATTAGCATTGGGCATCATGTATGCCTTAGAAGCAAAATCTGTTTTAATCCTCCTTTCCTAGATTTTACTCAAATAGTTTTTATTGAAAGAATTTTTTTACATATAATATATTTTTAAAAAAATTTGGCCTGACACTGGTCAGAGCTGCAGCCATTGGCTGCATGCGATGAATAAATGCTGGTTTTCCAGTTTACCATCAGTGTGTAATTCTCAATTAGGGGCATCTGAGCACTTTCCTATATAGGACAATGCCTAGGCACCCTCTCCTTTCTTAAAAGCACACATGAACCTTTTAGGAGTTTGATAGTTATATTCCTCCCACTTTTGCTTATGATTCTTGGAATAAATTGGAATAAATTGATAGTATCATTAGGCAGCAGTGTCTTGGAACACAAAGAACCCAGTGATAGATTGCACCTCCAATGGTATGGCACACTGCATTGTGGATTGGACATATAAATGTGCCTAGGCTAAAGAACAGCTGCACAACATCTAAAAAAAGTTGTATATTATTGACAACAGGCTTGTCTCTCCCTTTTTGATAAGGTTGAATGCAAAGAAAACAGAGAGTGCACCGGCCTAGTGCATTACCTAAATGACATTTATTGATGAAAGTAACAGATAGTGATATACTCACAAACACCAATGGTAAAAAAAGCTGATCTTAAAGAACAGCATATCCAGTCCGCCTGTTATGGTAATCCCCACAGGAACACTGAACATCTATGGCCATCTTAAAGGCAAAGTTCACCTTTTGCTCATTACCATTGTATTTAGGGTGTAACATATTACATGCTCCAGCACAGAGAAAGCCAGAGAACATGTTTGCAGGAGCCTGATATTGCACCCGTGATCCACTGTGCAAGAAATAATAAATGCACATTTTTTTCTAGCAAAAAATATGTGCATTTATTGTTATTTTGTAGAAAGGTGAACCTTTAAGTCCACATCAGCCATACATTGACACACTGCAGATCGAAATCCCTCACAAGCCCATTGTTATCTGTTCTTGGACAATCAGCATCTGCCTTGACACATTCCATGGTGAATGGATTACTGTGTTGGAACAACCCAGATATTAATGCTGGGATATGTTCCTGACAATATTTAGAACTGGCTTGGAGAACCTACAAAACGTCTTCAGTAATACAGTATTACAGAACAAGTTCAGTTAAATGTGACAAGCAATTGCTAGCTACGCCATTCTTATCTGACTGTTCCTCATATAGATTGAGGTGAATTTTACATGTCCCTGTGCTGTCAGACTTTCTATAAAGAGAATGTCATATAGGCAAACTAGTGATGTTAATGTACCTAGTATATAACATGTACATGGCTATTTGAGTTTAATTAATATAGTCTTCTATGTCCTTTACAGTCTTCATCCTTCAGCAGCATTACAGACTCAACCATGTCACTAAACATCATCACAGTTACCCTGAACATGGGTAAGTACTAAATCTACTGTGTCACCACCCTAGTGGTGAAGGTCCATCCTATTTTAGTGTGGGAAAAAAGAATGTTAGATATAAATAACAACACATATTAAAGCAGAACTTTGCTATGCTCCACTCCAGCTTTGTGGTGTCCAGGAGCTCCCTGCTGGCCGCTGACATCTTTTGCTAGTCTTCTTCTGGATCCTGATTTTTGGCAGTTTTGATTGGCTGAGTCAGACGACACATCAGTCCCAGGCATTCATAGGAGTACATTCCTCTCGGCATGCTGTTAAATTTTACACTGAGCTGTGCATGCGTAGCTCATTGTACATTGCAAACAAGCAGATAAAAAATAAATGCAGAAGAGGCATTTTATATTTCTTTTGTTTTAAAAATCCTGCCCTTTTTTTTAGTAAAGTTTATCTTTAAAGTTATATATAAAATACAGTATGTACTACTTACAGCAGAACAAAACCCATTGATTGAACTGTTTCCCAAATAAGTTACATTCAAGGCATGTCATAAATGATAATTTTCACAGTTACTAGTATGCTTGTGTTTCTTCTTAAATGAACTGTCAAGCCTTCAGATGACTGGTGTCATAGCTGATCACATGTGCAACACTCTGGTAACTGCAGATCAAACAGAAGCTAAGATGGCAGCTTCCTTGGCTGTAAAGAATATGAGGTTGTAGTTCCCTTTACTGAGGGAGACTACTCAAACCCAGCTCTAGCCAAAACAATGTATTTAGTTTTGAATATAGCTTGGAAGGGTTAGAACCTCTATCAGGTTTTTATTGCTGTCTCTGGTAGTTTTGAGATATTTCCACTCACTTCTTGTCACTATAGGAAGTGATAGGATATTTGTGCAAAGGAGATACAGAGAAAACCAAAAATGTATAATGTGGAAGGGTTATAATAATCTGATTATGTTTTTATTGCTGTCTGTGCCTTCACATCCTGGTGACAACTGCATCATTTCTTGTACAGCTATCACAGGCACAAGAAATGAGAAAAAAAAAAATCTCTCCAATAGAGTCACAGACAGAAATAAACCCCTGACAGAACATTTAAACCATTCTTAACTTAAAACAAAACTTTAAAGATTTTTAGTTTTGTATGCATTTTGAGGACTTCAGCAACAAGATATCTGCATTTGAGACCTATATCTATAATGTGGAAAAAGCATGCACTAATGGAAGGAGTGCCAGATCAAAGGGTAAAATAATCCAAATTAATTTATTAGTTTATACTAAAAAATCCAGCGCATTTTGGGGGTCAGGAAAAACCCCCCCTTCATCACATGCTCAGTTTGGTGTGTATTGCTAGAGAGGTTTTTTTTTTCTTGGGAGAGTGCACGTGATCAGCACAGGGCCAATCAGCACTGTCTAGACAGAGGTCAGGGGTCCTACATCCCCCTAGAGGAAAATGAAAACTCCTGCAAGCTATAACCAGTGCTCTGCTGGACACTGATAGAAGTCACAAGATTGCTCTAACTGCTGATGAGAAAAGTTATTTAGCAGTTTATATTTACCAAAATAATTGCATTTCCATGTTCTGTGTACTGTGGAAGACCAGATGTAGTGAATGCAGGGTCCTGGGTTTAGTAACACTTTAATACATTTTTCATAAAAAGATTTAAATTTAATATTGATGTTGAAAGCACCTGTACTGGCCATTTACTTATATTTCTGTTGTTTCCCTGTGTGCTTCCTCTACCAGAGAAGTACAACTTTCTAGGCATCAGTATTGTGGGGCAGAGCAATGATCGCGGAGATGGTGGAATATACATAGGATCTATAATGAAGGGTGGAGCTGTGGCTGCAGATGGCAGAATTGAACCCGGAGATATGCTTCTACAGGTATAGCATGTGACACAGTTCATGATTTTGCTTCTCTGAAATAATTTTTTTTCCAGCTAAACTATAGGCAAAGTGCTAAATCCACATCGGAGGGACATTTAAGCCAGGAACTTCAATTGCAGGATTGGCAATCTCAATTTCATTGTGAGCCGCTTCAGCATTATGATTGCCCTCAAAGGGACAATTGTATCTGTACTACTAGAAGTCCAGAACCACCCACCCCCTCCCTTACATAAGATGTCAACAGCCCCCCCACCATCAGAAGTTAGAAGTCCCCCACCCTCCATTACATTACAGTGCACCCCCCCTTACCTTGTGCTGCTGCTGGGAAGAAGCTGGGGTCGGAGCTGGGAAGCAGAAATTGCAGGGTCTGGAGGAGTACCAGAAGAAGGCTGGAGTCAGATAAATGTTGAGAACAGGGGAGGCAGAGACAAAGGGTTGCTGTGACTGCTCAGAGAGGTACAGTATCAGTAGGAAGAGTCCTGCCCTCCTTTCTGCTGCCAACTGCTGAGCCGGGGGGGGGAGCCTCTCTGCAGCTGCATGCAGAAGCACAGGATCTGGCGGAGGAGCTTTGTCCTCCTCTTTGCTGACAACTGCTGAGACAAGGTGGAGGCAGAAACGAGGGAGGTGCTGCAGCTGAAGGAGAGGTGCGAGAGGCCACATGAAATGGCATGGCAGGCTGGATTTGGCCTGTGGGGCTTGTGTTTGACACGTGCTCTATTGCATAAATCAGTTCAGCTTGGTCACCCCCCAGCCTGTAATTGGACAATGAGGATGAGTAGAAGCACACCAAAGAGTTCATCCCTCTGCTGTCCCCTTCTGTAAGTATGTTCAGAAAGGGTGATAGAGTATTTTGTGAAAAAGATGCCATATTGGCTCAGAGTTATGCTCCTCCTTCTTCCAGTTGGAGTTCCACGGTGGAAGAGACTAATATCAAGATTTATGGCAGATTTATACAAACATATGTATTTATTTGTTGAATAAATAATTGGGTTAAATAGTGCATTTAATATCTTTCTAGAGTTTGGCCTTATGCTGCATTCACGCTATAGCATTTCATGAACATTTACATGTCCTGTTTGCAGTGTCATTAATTCTTATTTTGTGCCATTAATTGTCTTTTGGTCAAAAAAAGAGCAAAAGTGGCAAAACGTGGTTAAAAAAAAGTGCAAAGTTTGAAACCTAAAAAGGCGCATGAGTTACTTTGCTGCTTTTGTTTCATGTATGTCATCCTATTAAAAGGAATAGGCTACCCTATAATTCGCGACACCTGCTGTCATGTGTTCTTGTGTGAATGCAGCCTTTAACTCGGTCATGTAAGATGTATGGTGGTTGTCTTTGGTGACTTCCTGTTAAATAAATTCACACTGACACTAGCTGTAGGATGTTACTGCACATTTGGTGCAGCTACACTTATGTTGTAGTGCCCTCCCTCCCTGCCAGTGTTAAGTTAGCCATACACTTTCAGAGTTTTTTCATTCATCCCGCAGTATCAATCGATTCCTCCATCCATTCTAAAGAATATAGATGGAGGAATATCCCTGCCTATTATTGTATTCAGACAGCCACAGCACCCGCAGCTCTCTGAATACCGGAACAGTAATTGCATCTGATTTGATGTCTTTGGCCAACAATTTCTAACCGGCTCCTTTGAATTATTTTTCTATTTTAGTCAAGCTGGGTGAAACTCATACTGCCATCATAGTTCGTATTTTGGTTGATTCAGTAGAAATTGGCAGATTTTTAAGTAGTGTATGACCAGCTTTACACTCACATGTCTCTGATTCTGCAAGACATTGGCTGTGTAGCTTGTCTACACCGCACAGCCACTTGTCAAATTCTTGTCAGACAGGCCTTCAACTGCTGCTGGTACTGTTCCTTTAGTCATATGGGAATTTATACTTCACCGGAATACAGAGAATGGACACTCCATTGGACTGAATAGAGTGCAGGGTGCATGGTCATGTTGTGTCATGGACAGAAATAGAAATCATTTTGCAGATAAATCAGCTCCCATATACAGTGGGGATCGAAAGTTTGGGCACCCCAGCTAAAAATTTGTATTTAATGTGCATAGAGAAGCCAAGGAAAGATGGAAAAATCTCCAAAAGGCATCAAATTACAGATTAGACATTCTTATAATATGTCAACAAAGTTAGATTTTATTTCCATCATTTACACTTTCAAAATAACAGAAAACAAAAAAATGGTGTCTGCAAAAGTTTGGGCACCCTGCAGAATTTATAGCATGCACACCCCCTTTGCAAAGCTGAGACCTGCCAGTATCATGGATTGTTCTCAATCATCGTCTGGGAAGACCAGATGATGTCAATCTCAAAGGTTTTAAATGCCCAGACTCATCTGACCTTGCCCCAACAACAATCAGCACCATGGGTTCTTCTAAGCAGTTGTCTAGAAAACTGAAACTGAAAATAGTTGACGCTCACAAAGCTGGAGAAGGCTATAAGAAGATAGCAAAGCGTTTTCAGATGTCAATATCCTCTGTTCGGAATGTAATTAAGAAATGGCAGTCATCAGGAACAGTGGAAGTTAAAGCAAGATCTGGAAGACCAAGAAAAATATCAGACAGAACAGCTCGCAGGATTGTGAGAAAAACAATTCAAAACCCACGTTTGACTGCACGATCCCTCCAGAAAGATCTGGCAGACACTGGAGTTGTGGTACACTATTCCACTATAAAGAGATACTTGTACAAATATGGTCTTCATGGAAGAGTCATCAGAAGAAAACCTCTTCTACGTCCTCACCACAAAAATCATCGTTTGAACTTTGCAAATGAACATATAGACAAGCCTGATGCATTTTGGAAACAAGTTCTGTGGACCGATGAGGTTAAAATTGAACTTTTTGGCCGGAATGAGCAAAGGTACGTTAGGAGAAGAAGGGGCACAGAATTTAATGAAAAGAACCTCTGTCCAACTGTTAAGCATGGGGTTGGATCAATCATGCTTTGGGGTTGTGTTGCAGCCAGTGGCACAGGGAACATCTCACGAGTAGAAGGAAAAATGGATTCAATAAAATTTCAGCAAATTTTGGATGGTAACTTGATGCCATCTGTGAAAAAGCTGAAGTTAAAGAGAGGATGGCTTCTACAAATGGATAATGATCCTAAACACACCTCGAAATCCACAGGGGATTACATCAAGAGGCGTAAACTGAAGGTTTTGCCATGGCCTTCACAATCTCCTGAGCTCAACATAATTGAAAATCTATGGATAGACCTTAAAAGAGCAGTGCGTGACAGACAGCCCAGAAATCTCAAAGAACTGGAAGACTTTTGTAAGGAAGAATGGACAAAGATACCTCAAACAAGAATTGAAAGACTCTTGGCTGGCTACAAAAAGCGTTTACAAGCTGTGATACTTGCCAAAGGGGGCAGTACAAGATATTAACTCTGCAGGGTGCCCAAACTTTTGCAGACGCCATTTTTTTGTTTTCTGTTATTTTGAAAGTGTAAATGATGGAAATAAAATCTAACTTTTGTTAACTTATTATAAGAATGTCTAATCTGTAATTTGATGCCTTTTGGAGATTTTTCCATCTTTCCTTGGCTTCTTTATGCACATTAATACAAATTTTTAGCTGGGGTGCCCAAAATATCGATCCCCACTGTATGTGCACTTTAACATGGAGCTTGGAATGTGAGCGGTCCAAGTCATGGCTCTGAGGAGCCTAGGCACATATGTACGTAACAGAAAACATAAAAAAAAAAACAGCATTCAGCAAATTGAAGCCTGTGATTGGTTGCTGTGAGTTACTGTAACCTCCTTGGATATGCACTGTGTTATTCAGAGTGCGTCTTATAGCATTACACCATCCTGGAAGAGAAAAGTGTGGTATCACTACCCAAACAGCAGCTGACATGCGGCTGATTATCACACAGCCTCAGGAGTCATTTACAAGATTACTTGTGTTTCTTTGACTTTGCAGAGAATACACAGGGGATGGTTTAATGCCATCACAGGCTCATGTCAGCTGCCTTTGATATTACTAAGCTTCATATATACTGGGAATTGTTTCCCCTTTCTCCAACCTCCCTATTTACAAGGAGAATGCAGGATAAAAGTGCTGCATTTTAATATGTCCAGGGAAGGAGTCTCGTACACTGAATATAGATTTTCTTGTAGGTTTTACGTATAATTTTACTTTATAATTTTACAAATAGGAACAAGATCAAAGGTCACAGAATGCAGGATGTGGTTATAAAGAATACAAAAGTCATAGAATACAATACGATGCTGAAATATGTAATATAGATATATATATATATATATATATATATATATATATATATATATTATTTTATGATAGATAGATAAAAAACTAAAATATATTATTACATATAAAAAGTAAACCTATCAAATATTCATATCTGTACAATATATAGAGCATTAATTCACACCTTCCATACTTGTATAGTAGTATTGCTTATATATTCTTCATCATAATAAGGACTAAAATGTAAATATATATTTTTCTCTGACTCATTGAGGGTCAGAGGATTTAGAAACAATTGGGTTATACTGCTGCCTACAGGAAAATGACCTAATTGTCTCTGAATCCTGTGTCCCTCAATCAGCTTCCAAGGGAAAAAACAGTTGTTTACAACTATCTCAACTATCTCAATCTTCAATTTACACACTTTGCTGAATGAGTCAGAGCAATTAATACTTCCCCCCTCCCCCCCTTTGTCTGTTAAGAGAGCAGCCTACCAAACCTTAATTAGAGAAAAAGAGAGAGAGTTTAAAAGCAAACTGTTGTTGCCATGCTTACTCATTAGAAAATTCCTAATGCTCTGAGACTCCAGTGTCATGAATGCACCCTATATTAAATAAGTATTTGTTAACCAATGGTTTCTTATGGAAGAAAAGTAGTTCTAAATCATCAGTTTAAAAACATATAGGTGTCCTTTTATGAAACGGAGATCAGCGGCGACCCTGGGGATCATTGTTGATCTCCGATCATTAGTGGTTTAGGAAACAGAGATGATCCGCAGAGAACATGTTCTCCACTTATCATCTCAGCACACAGATGGCCAGTGTATGAAGGAGCGATCTCAGCCCTTCACTGGCGATCTGTGTCCTCCCTCCAGGTTCTCCCTCCAGATTCTCCAGCCCAGAGCTGGAGAATCAGAGGAACCGCAAACGAAGCAGCGGTAATTTACCTCTGCTTAGTAAATGGTGTCTGATTGATCTCTTACTGTAATCTTGCGAGATTATAGTAACAGCAGCCGTTTTCTAGCGCTCAAAGCGTTTGTAGATCACTTCTCTCTTCATTCGGAGAAGCGATCTACACCGTTTCATAAAAAGGCATTCAGAGGAGAACTGTCTCCTCTGAGAATGCTGGAGAACTGAGCAGCGGTCCATTTACCACTGCATGATAAAAGGATACCATACTCATCAAAATAATAAAATTGATCCAAAGCCATTCCAGTTTCCTTTTCCTGGCTAGTTATGTAAGATGCTATGTGTAAAAAAAAAAAAAAAATCCAGACCATAGTCAACATAGATAGTTAAATAATACTCCTAATCACTTAGTTAATTGAAAAATGTTTGTCATTCATTCGGGCTGTAGAAAGCCATCATATTCCTTGATTTAGATAATAAAAAAGGAGTAAGGTTTAATTGTACTCATAGGTGGGGTAGTCAGTCAGTACATCACATAAGTATACAACAATAATTTTTGTACTTTATAGTTTTGTGTTTCTTACCCATGAGTACACTTATAACAATCTGTTTTTATAGTGTGACTATAGGAATTGATTAGATTTACACTGTGTGCATTCATGTGATATGTTTGAATCTGATCTGACAATTTGGAGACTTTATCAGTTGAATCTCCCAGACAAAGAAGGATTATTCCATAAAGTACATAGAGGGAATTAAAAAAAAAATGGAGTAGCCAGAATCTGGAGCAGCTGTGCATGGCAACCCATCAGCTTCTATCTTTAATTTTCAAAGCTTAACTGAACACGCTGAAGATAGAAGCTGATTGGTGGTTGTCATGAACAGCTAATCCAGACTTTGCTTGAGTTTTAATCAATTCCCCCAATTTGTACAGTGTATCATTAGGTGACATTCTGTTTGTTTTAAACCTTACAGGTAAATGATGTGAATTTTGAGAACATGAGCAACGATGATGCAGTCAGAGTCTTGAGAGAAATTGTATCTAAGCCTGGGTAAGTATTTGGTTGTTAGCATCCTTTATGCTAATTTTATTATAGAGAATATTCAATTTTCTATATGTGTATAAGATTAATATGTACATTTTGCCATATTTCTCCCACTTGCCTAAATTAAAGTGTAGGCAAAATGTTTTTTTTTTTGGATTGAGTGCAGAGTGATTAGAACATTAGTTTTGGAAGCACCAGGAATTTTCTTTCACTTCCTGTTTTAGGAAATCAAGGGAAATCTTGCCAATGGGACACAGATGGCAAAAAAAGAAAAACTGACAATGCTTTTAACCCTCCCTTACTCTGTCCAGAATTTTAAAAAAAAGTTTTACCTTTTAAGCTTTGGAGCTGTTTTATATGCTAATAAATCTTGAAAAGGTAGAGGTAAAATAATGTATATGTATTTAATAGCTGGGCCTGAATATCAGTTTGGGTGGACTCCCCATGCACACATTAGTGTGAATGGTACCACAACGCAATAAAGGAGCACGTTGCAGGTCACTGTGACATATGGTAATGTACTGTTGTGCATTGTGTTGTGCTGTGTCAGGGAAAATAGCGCAAGTGCATTTCCTGGTCCATTGGCGGCCCATACTAATAAATACAGCCTTAACAAAATGGATGGTAATGTGTAATAACGTGTATGTTAACACTCTGCACCAAACAGGAAAGGACTGGATGGGGTCTTACGATGTATTCACAATTATACGTTTCAGCAAAACGTGCTTTTACATTAAATTACTGTGTGGCACAGTAATGGATGAAGCTAATTGCAGTGCACTGCATTGTCATTTTGCACAACACTCCAGTGCACCTAGGCAGCAAAGCTATATGCATTTATTTTGTAGTGCACCATAGTGTACAGATGTAAACCATCTGTGTGTTTTATTGCACTATGTTGTACAAATTGCTGCCATTTTTTGTTTGAAATTCTATCCATCTGTGGCCAACTTTACTGCAATGTGCTATTGTGAACAGGCTCTTATCTGTTGTTGGAAAAAAGGGGAGGATAGCCACCTAACATGACACGTAAATATGTGTCATATAAATATCTCCGTCTCACTAAATTAGTGTGGATTTATAAACCCGATATGCTTAACATAAAACATAGCAGTATGACAAGTGCAATACTGCTCACACAGAGTGGTTATTAGAAAATCCAAGCGGAGTAATATAATAAGTATTTACAAACAAGTTTTATTCGATCACATGGATCATACGGAGGTTAGACAGAGACATGGTAAACAAGTCATTATAAAATCACTAAATTAAAAACATTCGGCGTCTCCAGATCTAATAGTTATTCTGCAATCAGGAATCCACATAAGGCAATGAAGTTCCTAACTACTTGATCAAAGAATTTTCATATTTTCCATATGATATCTGCATAAGAGGAACATTCTTCAAAAAATGTTTTGGTAGCCACCACAGTGAATAGAATGGCCTTCTGAAATGGAGAACCAGAAAAAAAGGGATCATAGTAGAGGGAACAAAAAATAGGATATGTGCACTAACCATATGCAATAACAGAACAACCCCATGACAGGTATATATGTTACTCCATTACCTTCTCATAAACTTGACCATCATGAAAGGATGGATATATGGCCTTCCTGGATAGCCACCCCAAATGGAAATGTATCCACAGTAGTAAATGATTCTAAAAGTGTATAAATATGAATCATAAATATCAAACTACCAACAAACCTGAATGAGACTAAAATAAGGGTAAAAATCTAAGAATATTACCATACAAAAGATCAAGGGGACTCCTCCTCACTTGAAGTAAGATCAGGTCTGGATGAAAAAGTGAATATGGGGTGGGAAGCCAGGTAGTTAATGTGTAAAGTCCAGACTGGTTGATACAGTCTCTGTATATTTGAATATATAGACCCATATCTGGGTTTCCAAAAATTGCTCAATAATGCGAAAGTAGTGCAGTTCCTTAAAAATATATATGATGACTGTTTTAGCATGCCACAACACATATAAAGTGTAGTGTATACATATTCCTCCAATAGGAGTTCAAAAAATTCCCCCAAACATGAGCTAAATAGGCACAGGATTTCCAAAAATATGAGGGTATGTTACCCGTTTATATTGATAGCACTAAAGCCTAATTTAGCCAAACGGCTATAAACTTGCCACCGGTGGAAGTAGGCTGTGACTCAGAGTTGCCATGGTCGGGCTGCTTAGGATGATATCCTCATCATAATTTGAGTGTCTCCTGCCTTTCCAGTGTGGAGCTGAAACAAACCGCTTCTTCTAATAACCACTCTGTGTGAGCAGTATTGCACTTGTCATACTGCTATGTTTTATCTGTTGTTGTCTGCCATGGGCTTACTATATGGGAAGGCAACTGTGTGTGGAAAAATGTCGCTCATAGTAGTATTATTATACAGGATTTATATAGCGCCAACAGTTTGCTCAGCGCTTTACAATATAGAGTAACCAGAACATTATCTCTACTGTCTTCAGCCACCAAAGGATCTGAAAACTAAGTAATTGTTCCTTCTCTTTAGGCTGGTTCACACCAGGTGTGTTGAGTTGCATTGATCAGCTGCATCAGATCAACGCAGGGTAAACGCAGGGACACAGAGTGAACAATAGCTGTTGTAAACAACACGCTATTGCACATAGAGATAAATGAAAATGTTTTTTGTTGGCTTCAAATATGGTTAAAAAAAGAACATGAAGACTGTAATGTGTTGTTAGAACGGACAGCGGACACCAGCGCACAAGTGTTATATGTAGTATAATGCATGGCCACTGGTGTGAATAGGCCCTTAATGTAAACTGATAGCAAATAATTTAGCTTGCTTTGGCCCCCATCGCCATAACCTTGGATTCTATTGTGGACTTTCAGCTTCAAGAGAAAATCAAACAGCACAAGAATAGCAAGCGATGCTGTTATTTTTCATGCAGTTTCCATGCCTCCCAAATGTATAAAATTGCTTTGGTGTGAAGGAGCATTAGCGTGGGCTTACATAAATACATTTTCAATGAAATGCATATGTCATTAGGTTGATAGTTTCCATGGCAACCAATCCCAATGTGTATTGCATTAAATTAGCACAGAAGTGACAGGTATTATGAATTAAGAGTGGAATGGTCATTTAGATCCTTGCGGCGGACCTACAAAATGACACCTGTGTTCACAAACAGATGTCTCCTTTGCATCTGGTGCAAACACCTACCTAAACAAGATATTCTATTTGTTCAGAGAGGAAGATCTTTATACTGCATAGTATTGAAAACATTGTAACATGTATGGGCAGCTAAACGCTATCCCGCTCTATCCAAAACAAAATGAAATGTTTTGGTTGAAGGTGGACTTGTGATACGTAGTTATTGTACAGAAACTGTAGACACAGAGTGTAAGGTGTATGACCAGCTTTAGAGCCTTTGCCCTCTTTTGTTTTGCTGGTTGTGTCTTTAGTGGGGAGATTCCAACTCATTACCTGTCAGCACAGGAAGGAATGGGAAATCTCTCCAATGAGGACACAGACAAAAACATATTTTTTAGTTGCATGGGGAGGTCTGGAACTTCCTTCAGTGGTTTTATTGCTGTGTGTCTTCCTGAACCAATGACAGCTGCACCCCACATTTCTTGTAGGGATGCCATAGGGACAGAAGGTGTGGAAGAATGCCCCCAATGAGCTCAGAGGCAGAAATACCTTATAGCAATTTTAACTCTTCCTCACTTTAACTTTCTTTTAAGAGAAAGGGGTTAATGCTGGAGGTGGTAGGCGGGCTCCTGGTCATATGATCACTGTGATTGGCTGTCGCAATGGCCATGTGATCGGGAGCCCTTCCTACTGGTTCTTGATGATAAAAAATGACCGGGTGGTGTCAGTGACAGCACGGTCACTGTGCTTGGGGTGCCGAGTGAGTGCACTCACAGCACAAAACAGTGCTGCCAGCTGTACACATACATGTGACCGCACAGTAATAAAACCCACCGCTGCACTGCCACTTATATGATCATTGCCACCGCCAAACTTGACTTATTCAAGTACACGGGACTAAGATGCCACCTTTCTGCAACAATATGTAATGCACAGGGTTTGCGGTGTGGCGCTGCGGCCTTTCACTAATTAAACAGGAGTTCTGTGGGTGACATTGCCTGCGAGCTGCCTGTCAAATGCCTCTTCAAAGTAATTCACCACCGATTGCTTTTCAGGGGGGCAATAAATGAGGCCTTATGAGCTTGATCCCGCTGGCCCATGTTTCTTCCCAGCCCCTTGCACTGGCAGCTTATTCTCCAGCTCCTCCTCCAGAACACTGCAGCAGTCAGTCCCTGGAGGACAAACCAGGGATGAGCTTGGCAATACCCCAGTCTCTCCCCAGCTCCTCCTCCAGAACACTGCAGCAGTCAGTCTCTGGAGGACAAACCAGGGATGAGCTTGGCAATACCCCAGTCTCTCCCCATCTCCTCCTCCAGAGGGTAGAAGGGGAATATAGATCAAGCGGTTTTTAGGGATTTAAAATGATGTGTTTTGAAATAACTTTCTGGTATATGTATACATGATGGGCAGGAGGATTTATACTACTTTCTGTTATTATATGCCGGCCGCTGTGTCAGTACCAGCCTGTACTCTGATGTTTCCAGTTACTCTGATTACGCCTATCAACTGCATTGGAAATGCCCTTTACCTGAAACCTTTTTTACCTATAGTTGTTGGTTATCTTTTGCCCCGTGCACATGATGAGAATATCGGATGAAAGAAACGCTTTCTGAGGGATCGTATGATAATCTGAACATTAGTATACAACAGTTCAAGCGACAATATCCAAATGGACAAGCACAAACATTTTTCTCATATGACAGAATGATTTTCATTTAATCAGTACAGTATTCGTCCAAAAAAAAATCGAGAGACCAAGACCACCCATGCTCGGAAATGAAAGAATGCACTACAATACAATACAATACAATACATTACATCACTTCCGAAGTTGTATTCTGTCTTATGAGAATTTTTGTAACTTAAAGCATTACTAAACCCATAACAGTAAAATCAGACTGTATATGCAGTAAAAAAGCCTGCTTGATATACTCATTGTGGAACCTAAGGTGTTAAAAAGGCTGTTTGATCTTATCTTCTGTGATCCTCCCCTTCTTTTACTGCCCCAAATCCATCTGCCATAGTTCAGAGCAGCAGGGGCAAGTCTGCACATGTTCTGTTTGGTGTGTATTGCTAGAGAGTTTTTTTTTTTTTGGGGGGGATGTGCATGTGATTGACAAAGGTCGGTCAGTGCTCTGTCCGGACAGAGGGTCAGGGGTCATGCAGTCTCATAGGACAGTCTGAGGAGAATGAAAAATCCTCCTACAAGATTAACCAGTGCTCGTCTAGACACTGATAGAAGTCAGAACACTGCTATATACTGCTGATGAAAAAAGGTATTTAGCAGTTTATATTTACTAAAATAGTTGCATTTCCATGTTCTGTGTACTGTGGGAGACCAGATATAGTGAATGCACTGTCCTGGGCTTAGTAACAGTTTACATAACCTCTTCATTTTCAATATGGGATATGAGATGTATGCAAAAAAAAAAAAAACGGACGACTATTCGTCCAATATTCTCATTGTGTGTACCAGGCATTAGTGTCACTTACAGTAATAATTTGCTGATATTGATGGATTATTATTTGTGTCTTGTGTTTCATATGTACAGTCCAATCAGCCTGACTGTAGCAAAATGCTGGGATCCCACCCCTAGGAGCTACTTCACCATCCCCAGAGGTGAGTGACATGTCTACTCTCACCAGCACAGCTGTGCTAGTGATTTTTGTGCAACAGTTAGGAGCTTTTTTAAGACACATGAAACAATGTGTTGTAACCCATGGCAACATGACTGATCATTGTTGGACAGCTCCAAACTGATTAAGGTAAATTGTGTGTGTTGATGACTCCCACACTTTGTATTTATTCATTGCTCTTTGCGATGCTTAGTTTGCTTAAGCTGGCCATACATGTAGAATATTATTTGAAACTTATTTTAGTTTTAAGAACGTTTCTTCAGTTTTCTAATCATTATTGGGGTCAAACTGATGTTTGCTTTCAACTACAGTGATGAGAGAATTTGAAGAAGCAGGATGAATGTTCTCAAATTTATAATTGTAAATGTGGATTTTTTGCTGGAAAGTGCATTTATTTCAAATTGAATGTTAAAAGCAAACACAGTTTTGAAGTACTTTCTAACGCCTGTCATCAAGTTTTTACTGAGAATTTTCGTACGAATGTTCTTACAAAATTGTGCTAAAATCTACTAGTTTATGGCCAGCTTTAGACGGAGAATTCCACCTTAACTCGTCTTACTATAATTCTGCTCTTATTACCTTTTTACCTTTTCTTATTAGGAGAGACACAGGCCATGCCAAAGAAAATTTGAGATATGGGTCAAGCTTAAAAAAAGCTTATACTTAACAGTTTGGTCCATCCAAAAGAGATATTTTAGATGTTCGCTTTAAATATAATTTGGGATGATAGGGTTTAAAGCAGAACTTCACTTCACAATAATCTCTGCCCCCACCACTATTTCTGTGGGGCCATTCTCGTAAATGAGAATGATGTGTCTCTATCCTGCAGTCCCCTGGAAGACCTTGTCACATATCCCAGGAGGCTGTGGAAACCTATTCACAGAGTGGCCTGGGGGACAGAGCTGTGTCGCACAATCTGGGGCTAGGCTGTCTGAACTTGGAAGAGGCAGCCAGCTGAAGAGGACCAAGATGGCAGCATAGAACACAGGTTGTGACACCTTAACAGTAGATCGCTGCAAGACAGCGCTGGATCTGCTGGGCAGGTAAGTTTGTATTTTGAAGAGAACCCAGCATACCAGGTAAGGAGGGGTAAAAAAAAAAAAAAAGTGTGTGGGGGCCGAGGTTCAAGGTATATATTAGTGGCATTTCCACTCATTTGAACTATTTCTTGTGTTTTAGTTATTGGTAGAGAGTGGTGGGCTTCATCAGCCCCTGACCTCTCATACAGTATGCCTTAAATACTCTGGCAGCGAGATCCCCTGGCAATAATTCCCCACCAGGGAGTTTTGGGTGTTCTCGCCCATCTTTGTGTGCTGCAGCTGCATTCTCCACAACATAAAATGCATACAAATCAGATTGTTTATTCCCCCCAGCATTTGCTAAAATAAAACTGCAGTTTTGGGTGGATCAACCCTGAACATGGTCATGCTTTTTTCACCATTTTTTAATCATTATCATTGAGTTATTATTTGTAAACTGTATCTATACCCAAGTTTTTTTTTTTTAATTTGGATAGAGTGGGGAAGGATCAGAACATTCTGTATGGTAAAAGGGTTGTCCCCATGACAGAAAGTGAGAGGAAATCTCAGTAAAAACATAGACAGAAGATGCTAGAACTTCTATCCGCTTTTATTGTTCGTCTTCCCTTCCTATCTGGGAAAATGTTGTCCCCAGGACAGGAAGTGAGGGGAATTCTCTCTAAAAACAATGCAGACGGAGGTAAAAATTTGTTTTTTGTTTTTTTTTTTAAGTAGGGGTATGCTAGAACCTCTGTCAGCTTTTTATTGTTCATTTCCCTGTTGCAAATGTTTCCTCACTTCCTGTATGGTAAAAGGTTGTCCCCAGAGCAGGAAATGAAGAGAAATCTCTCTAATGGAGATAGCAGTGAAACCTAACAGAGGTCCGGAATATTTCTCCCATTCTGTCAAAACTAAAAAAAAGGTTTTGGGTATAGATACACTTTAAGCCATTCAGCTGCTCTATACATCACTCTCCCTATTATATCTTATCCTGGTAAAACTAAATTTGCTAATGAATTGCATTTGTATAAACAAGTAAATTTAGCTTCGCACTTGTTGTCTTAACCAAAGATTCTCTCACCTTTTGATCATGACTAATCTATTTTTTTCTATAGATGTACTCAATGTCAAATTTGGCACTGATCCCATAATGTTACAGGAGTAGTGCTGCTTATTTTCTGTTTTTACCCTTTTTAAAACATTGGATGAAGATAATTGGTTTACCCCTATCCCCCAAAGAAAAAACTCAGTGCTGATAGGCTTGTCTGTACCCCCAGTGCCAAAGTAGGAAGTGTGGTCACTAGGGTGGGTTAATGTGTAATCAGATGGTGGGGGCTGGGTTTAATTTTTTTTATTACCAGGGAAACCAAGAATAAATAATAAATCAGCACCACTCTGTAACATTACAGATACAGTGACAAGACTTTTTCAAGTCTGAGTTTATTTAGCAAAAAATAAAAATATAAATCTATCTGTCATGGTTTATTGTTTTTTTTAACAATGAGTTTTCATTTTGCTGCCTGCATGTTTATTGGTATATTAATATAGGTAGACACAATTAGCAGTATGGTCTGAATTCCTGGCCAAGGTCAACAAATTAAAGGTGGTTACTTTTCTGGTCTGTAGAAATACGTCTCTATGTCCTGCAGTGAAATACTTCAGTAATTGTCAAGTAAGGGGTGTATTTATAAAAAAAATTTGTTCTTCCATTGAAACTGCATGAAAATATGTCCTGTGCGAATGGGGAAAAACTGAAGGACATATTCTCTGCAATTTGAATGTGTGGGTGTGAAAAATACCACTTATGACCATTAGATAGCAGTGGTCATTGCCATCTAGGGACCATAATCTGGCATTTTCTTACACGCACTCACAAATTCGAATTGCAGAGAATATAACCAGAGAACATTCAATTTTGTCCCGTTTTCACAGAACAAATTTACATGTAGTTTAAATGGGCAAAGAACTGTGTGATTTATTTTTTTTTTTTTCTAATTCCATCCAGTGTATCTAACCCCATGACCAAAAATGTAATATATTGCAGTTTATCAGTCCGTAGATCTGATGACTGCATTAGTTTTTTTTTGTTGGCTTTTTCCTTTATTTTCCCCTGGTAATGCTATCAGTAACAGTAACTTCCTGTCCTAGGGTGACAGTTACGGTACTGTGTCTATTCTGATGCAGAATTGTCACCCTAGTACAGGACATGTTAGAACTCTAAAAACACCTCTCTCCTCATCTCCATAACATAGGTGGGAGGTGTTTTGTAGTCCACAGAGAGAGCTGGCAATAGCACAGAATAGTGCAGCACAAGCAGAGTGTAAAGGAAGATAGGAGCTCACAAGATTTCTTGGTTTTTATTTGCACTTATTGATAGCTATAACAAAATTCTTTAGTATTAAATTTAGTAGTAAATTCTAATAGTATAATTAACAGACCAGAAGGGAGCAAATGATATAAGTTCACTGGATTTACATACACTATAAGGGACACACTGTGCTATATTGGAGGAGGAAAGAGGAGTATTGAGAGGCAAGTGTGCTCATGAGTAAGGAAGAGCTTGGATTCGGTGCAAACCCAGAAATTAGCTGTTACTGCTGGGCCAATGAGGTAGGGGCCGGAGATTCCCTATTCTGCAGCTGCATGTATACAAAGGGATGGAGTTGCTCGTGACACCACTGGCCTAATATGGACACGTGGCTATAGTAGGGCTAATATAGCCATATGCTTGAATTAAGATATCCAATGTCACAAGCATCCCCTTGGTGTTCGGGGAAACTCCTGCCCACAGCTCATTGGCCAGGCTGTGACAGCCAACATCCAGGTTCACAATGACAAGTGCACAACAGAGCAAATCTGTCAGATAATAAGAGAAGACAAGCATAAGGAAAACCGTTGATGTAAGTTGCAGTGTATTTGTAGAATTATTGTTTAGTGGGTAGTTGTGTGTTGTTGTACCTGTCTCCCTCCTGATAACTCCATCTTCTTTTGTCTCCTTTGTTCTGTTTGTAGCGGAACCTGTGAGGCCGATAGACCCGGCTGCCTGGATCACTCATACCTCAGCCCTGACGGGAACATACCCCCGTTACGGTATGAGCCCCTCCATGAGTATCATCACATGCACCAGCTCCTCATTAACAAGCTCTATACCTGAGTCGGAAAGTAAGTCACACTGCAGCCCCCCACACTGTGCGCAGGATTGATCCTGCACTGGGGCAGCAGTGTAACCCAATACTAAAATCTTGCTAACCGGCCAAACAGACTCACCTGTCATTATGCCTCTTGCTTGCTGCTTCCAGCTAGATCTATTCATGTAATAGATACTAATGCATGAAGTAGAGTAGAAACGAATGGAACTGCATAGAGTATAGGAAAGCAGACTATGGCTTTCTACCCACCATGCCATGTCAGGTCCCAGCATGCTTTGAAAACTGTTGGCTGAATCAATAGTTGTGGTTTGCCTAAGACGGATTCAAGGAAACCTGTGTTAAGGATGTAGAAAAGCTGTATTGTGAAAATACTAATATTTCTTGGCCGGTCCAATGGTGTTGGTACTTTCTGAGTCACTGACTTGGATCTGGATCTCTGACTTTCTAATCTGCATGCTTATTCTAAGTCAGTGTCTCAAAGTATTGAAGCCAGAGACAGCTAGGTTTTTCAGAAGACAGCATTAGCTGTCTCCTTTTTTATTCTCTTAATACAGATTTCCTTCAAGAGTTCATTTATAAAGAAACCACTCCTATTTTATGTGTATTTGGCTGTAAGCTTTCATATCATGATCTACTTTACTAGTATTAATAATTTTATATCATTTTAAAGATACGGAATTGTATCTCTGCAGACCACTGTTGTAAAGGCATCATCCTTGCTGTGGCATGATGGCGCCATCTACTGGCTGCATTGGGGCATTGTACATGCACAATGGATCTTTTGCACATCATTGCAGCAGGTGTCTCAAAAAGTCTCTGCAACAGGGAGGAATAAAGTCCATAGACTAATCTCCATGGTGAATGTATAGGTCACATGTACATCTAGCCTGTAATAACTAGAGCACCACACCAGAATGTTGAAATCCAAAATAAGTTTAAACCCTGTCAAAACTTCAAACAACTGCAACCCCCCAGCTGCTGACAAGGGTGTCTGAAGGCTGTCCATTATTAATTCCCTGAGTCCATTCTCCACACATTTTATCTATTTTCACACTGTGATGAAAGGGGCACACCCCAAAATGGCTTGACTATCTATATCAGCCTTTCTCAACCTTTTCAACATGAAGGAACCCTTGATATTACCTTTCGGGCTTGGGGAACCCCTGCTAAAAATTACTATATCTACAACTCATGATACAATAGTGTGAAGAATGCTCCTTGCACTTGTGGACAGTGGGAAGAATTACCCCCTTACAGGTGGCTAAAAAGATCAATTCTGTCAGTGGGAACTTTTCTGAGGCAGAATTGCTCATTGCTCAAGGAACCCCTAGCAACCTTTGGAGGAACCCTCGTTGAGAAAACCTGGTGTATATGGTTGAACTTTGATTGGATTTTTCATATTTTGGATTTTCATAGTTTGGCATGGCTCTCCAATTCTTATATCTCTTTCTCCAGTATCAGTTCCAAGTGGCCTTGAAAACCCATTGAACTAGGAGAATGGTCAGCCCGGTGTCAAAACACTCTATATCACCACTTCTACATATAAACAACTTTGAGGACCCAGAACCATCCATTTTTCAACCCCTGCCTTGGGGCACAGGGACAGTAACCACACAGCCTCTGTATTTCCACCTTAGAGACTCTCCAGAAATGTAATATTTAGCTTCCAGGATATGAGCCAGGTTCTCCTACATAGGTCAGTTTTGTGTCAAGCTGTTTGCCTAGCTGGTGTGATCTCACATACTGTAGAATATTTGTGCTTTGGGATGTATGTCTACATCTGTCCATCCTGTTTGTTTTATGGAATGCCTCTATTCCAAAAATCTTATCCTCTATGGTTAAACTCTGGTGTATGCTTAATAATCTGTCTGTGTGTGTGTGTGTGTGTGTGTGTGTGTGTGAGCCTGTCTCAGCTTCAAACCCAATCTTCAGTGGGTACAGCATTACCTGAAAGGGATGCATACAAATTGCTTACGGTAGAAGCTAGATGCAGTGTAGAATCATCAAGACACTGAAAACGTTTACATATTGCTGCTTGCTAATACCTGAGAAGTACAAAAGTAAAGGCATTAAAAATATCAGTATGCTAACATAGGATTCATATTTCAGATACTCTAAAAGTCTAAAAAAAACTGCTTAAACATGTATATTATTCATCCTTGACAGCAGTAAAATTAATTTTGTTAAAGGAAATGTATAGTCTTCTCACAACAGCTTTTTAGAAAAAGTTGAAAAATAGATCAGCTTGATGTAAACAATGTTATCAACACATGGTAATGTTTTAAAAAAAATTACTTTATCAAGAGTTTGTACTTATAAGTATACAGCGGACATCCATATTTGCTCATTACATATGCAGGTCCTACTTCCTGCAGTGCAATGCTCTCCCTATGTGACTGATATTTTATTTCAGCAGTTGCTAAAGCCCAAATCATCGTTGAGTTTAAATCAAGTGTATAACAATAAAAGGTTCCAAGTATTACAGCTGGTTTTCTTTAGAAAGCAACCACAGAATTGAAAAGCCTGTCCCCTGCCAACATGCTGCAGTGAAAGACCCTTGCTCTCAGTGGGAAAATAATGGTGTCTCTGAAGAGGTCTGACATGCCCTGCTGAGTCAAACCTATAGCTCTGAAATAAGTAAAGTTCACGTTTCCTGCGGATCCAGAAATAAAAGCTTATAGCAACTAATTTAAACTTTTCCCTGTTTAAGTAACAGTGCAGTATGGGAACATGATTGCATGACAGCCAACTTTCTAAAATCGGAGAGAAAAGAGGGACACTCTCAGGCAAATTACACGCCCCCGCCCCGCACACACGCACGCACACACACGCAGTCAAACATTCATTAATCAGCTCTTCAAAACTCATCATGACATCACAGCAATCGCCAATAGTAAACAGCAGAGAAGGCAGTAAAGCTAAGCAAGAACGATATAAACATTTTGCATAGTAATTAGGTCTGATCTATGGCTGTTTGCAATTACATTTCTAACTGTTAACTGTGAATAAATAAGGGGCAAAATATTTGGGTCCAAAAGAGGGAGTGTCCCTTCAAAAGAGGGGTAGTGGGGAGTTTTGTGTAAGGAATCATCCAACTGGTTGCTAAAAACACTTCCAGAAGTTACTATAACAGCTCCCAAATGGCTTGACCAAGCAAGTAATGCTGCCCATCACTTGCAATTACTGGGCCATTTATCCTTTTATGCATTGGTCAGAACATTGAAAACCAGGTCTTGTGGAGCAGAGCTAAGCATAATGGCCTTAAACATCAATAAATTTTTATATTCATTTTTACCACAAATGGAAGGATGATTAAAGATCTCTGAAGCATACAAGTCTCTAGACTGTTGGTGATCAGTAGAATCAATTGGATGAGCTTTCAGTGAGAGTCAGGTAACAAATCCCTGCAGTTTATTCTTTCACCTTCCTGAAGAAGATCCCTCTGTTTATTGTGTCAGATCTCCAGTCATCTGAAGAGGAAGGTGATATCGTATTGTATTTCCTGTTAGCAGCAGGCCAATTGTGAACAAGACCTGGTATTGTATGTCTGGTGACATTGTTAACCTGCCATAGCCATTGGTTGTTCTGATTGCAGCTCAAACCTTTACACACTTCATTGATCAAGGCAGCTTTTTGTACAATTGGTAGCTACACAGATGTTTTTATTATACCTACTAATTAAAAACCAAGTTTTGAGGTATACAGAGTTAAGCACACGTTACCAATGCACAAGAGCAAGCTGCATAGGCAACATATAAAACAACTTCTTAACCTGGGTTCTGTGGTACTCTTGGGTCCTTCAGAGGTTTCCCAGGATTTTTTGGGCAATTTTAGATTCTAAGATAATTAGCCACTGACACCAATTATATTTTTAGGTATCTTTAGGGGGGGTATTCTTTCTATTGAAAACCCATATAAGGAGCATTCTTCCTACAGACCGCCATTGTATTTGAAGGCTATGAATAAGGTATTTTCTGGACTGAAACGCATTAGTTCAGTCGTGCTATGGAATGTTTTACTCCTCGTTTTCAATAAAGAAGATTACATTTTCCGACATTCGTTCCATTTTATTTGAGGGCCCTACTTCTTCTGACCAACAGATGAACGGGACCCTTTTCCAATTTACAACTAGGGGAAAGGAGCATTTCACTTATCACCAAAGACAGAGGGGCTTTACTGACCACCAGGATAAGGGGCACTTTTTAACCAACCATCGGAGAGGGATCTTTATAATTTTCGCTACCTGTGTTTCTTTTCTGGTCATTATTATTCATTTAATTGCATTATAATTACTGAAAACAGTTTTGTCATATAGAGCAGCCCTGGGTGTCAAATAATCTCAACTTATTGTTCCCACCAATGTACCATGTGCTGTAGATATAGTCATTATTATCAAGGCTTCCCTGAGATCTGAAAGTTATTTCAAGGTTTGTTTTATATTAGGAAGGCTGAGAAAGGCTGATATTAATGCAGAACTACACTGTATCTGAGCACCACAAACTGGATATGCTATTTAATTCATTTTTAATATTCAGAGCAAACTCACCCATTCATCCATGCCTCCATGCTTTATTCATTTTGAAAAACAACCCCTAGCATTTGTATGTGCAGCCATTTTGAGTAGGGGCAGATGATTTATGTAGCATTTACTTCCTGGAATCCATCTGCTCTTAAACCAGATCTGCATGCAGGAGGGTGTGCTTAGTTGAGAAAACTCTCCCCCTCTCCTAAAGATTCCCAGGATGTAGGACAGCATTTGCCCAGGCCTACAAACCAAGAAGTAACTGAAGAAATGTAAAAAAAATGTAAAACAAGCTGGCTTTTGTGACATAACACCAGCATCAGGATCCACCATGAAGACAGCAGTCCTCCTGTAGCTCTTCTGATCTTTTACACTCTTAATCTGGCCACAGATGCATCCAAATGTAGCCGGTTCAACAGGAACCAGTCAAATTTTGATCCACCAATGGACAGGCTGGTTGTACAGAAGTCGATCTTTTGATCGATTTCTATACAACCAGTCTGTTGCAAAATTTTTGCTTCTGCATATTAACAGGGAGTTTCTGGCTCGGGACTGCCCCCATTCACAGAACACATTTTATTTGCAAGACAATATCCTTATTAGTGCAATTTTAATTTTAAAACATCTACAGATGTGCATGAAGATTTCCATATGCTATGGCTCTTTGCTGCTGTAGCAACCAGCCAAATGTTACTTTTCCAGTGTACATCTGAAATATAACGGCTGCATCTGATTGGTTAGATTTTCTTTCCCTTTTCATTAATTGCAGCAGAAAGTAAGTTCTGAAAGGTATTTTGTATTCCCAATATTTGCAGAACTGGAAGATTCCCCCCTGACAGTAAAGAGTGATATGGCTACAATTGTAAAGGTGATGCAACTGCCAGATTCAGGTCTGGAAATAAGAGACCGAATGTGGTTGAAAATAACGATATCTAATGCAGTTATAGGTAAGTTTGCCTTTGTGCTATACAATTATGATGATGCATCCCGGTGTGCTGTATCAGTTTTTTTTTTTTTTGTATTAAAATTTTCACAGTTTCTGTGCTTTTATCTTTTCTAAAACATATCTCATTAAGGATATATTGAATGTTGGGATTTGAACACTGTTGTGTGAATCGCCATGCTAAAGTATAAAAGCAAACCTGACTAATCGTGAGTTTTATTGGAAATTATTCTCCCTTTTATATGGATTTTAAAAGGAATCTGTCAGGTGAGCTGACATGTTTTAAAGATGTAAGCTCCAGTGCTGTCATTCTCATCCTGTATTTCAATACTAGGTGAGTTATTATAAGTTTAACTGAGCATTTATTGCATTTAAACTTAGACAACATGAATAAAGAGCCCTGCACATTTAAAAAGCATAGTGATTTGCTTTACAATGTCCATTGCACTCTGCTGACTTTGGGGGTCCAAAGCTAGTGGCGAGGGATTTGTAAAAAAAAAAAGCTGGGAGAAGTGCCCGGTTTGTGATTTGTCAGAAGAACTCCCATTCACCATGCTCTCAGATGCGTAAAGCAGAGGAAATTCTGTACTGCAAGGTTCAGTGTATACAGTGCCTTGAAAAAGTATTCATACCCCTTGAAATTTTCCACATTTTGTCATGTTACAACCAAAAATGTAAATGTATTTAATTGGGATTTTATATGATAGACCAACACAAAGTGGCATCAAATTGTGAAGTGGAAGGAAAATGATAAATGGTTTTGAAATATTTTTACAAATAAATATCTGAAAAGAGTGGCGTGCATTTTTATTCAGCCCCCTGTACTCTGATACCCCTAACTAAAATCTAGTGGAACCAATTACCTTCAGAAGTTACCTAATTAGTAAATAGAGTCCACCTGTGTGTAATTTAATCTCAGTATAAATACAGCTGTTCTTTTAAGCAATCAGAAGTTTGTTAGAGAACATCAGTGAACAAACAGCATCCTGAAGGCCAAGGAACACACCAGACAGGTCAGGGATAACGTTGTGGAGAAGTTTAAAGCAGGGTTAGGTTATAAAAAAAAATATCCCAAGCTTTGAACATCTCACAGAGCAATGTTCAATCCATCAGCCAAAAATGGAAAGAGTATGGCACTAGTGCAAACCTACCAAGGCATGGCTGTCCACCTAAACTGACAGGCTGGGCAAAGAGAGCATAATTCAGAGAAGCAGCCAAGAGGCCCATGGTAACTCTGGAGGAGCTGCAGAGATCCACAGCTCAGGTGGGAGAATCTGTCCACAGGACAGCTATTAGTCGTGCACTCCACAAATCTGGTCTTTATGGAAGAGTGGCAAGTAGAAAGCCATTGTTGAAAGAAAGCCATAAGAAGTGGGGGACAGAGCAAATGTGGAAGACGGTGTTCTGGTCAGGTGAGATAAAAAAATTTTACTTTTTGGCCTAAATGCAAAACGATATGTGTGGCAGAAAACACTGAACATCACCCTGAACACACCATCCCCACTGTGAAACACGGTGGTGGCATCATCATGTTGTGGGGATACTTTTCTTCAGCATAGACAGGGAAGCTGGTCAGAGTTGATGGGAAGATGGATGGAGCCAAATACAGGCAATCTTAGAAGAAATTTATACAGAAATCACCAGCGCCAAAACCGTGAAATTATATACTAAATAAATGCTGCTGCTCATTAGTGTAAACACCAAATAATATATAAAACATCAAACGAGCGCAAATATATAATAAAAATTAATAAATATACACTGCAGTGAAAAATTAAATAAATGATAATTAATAAAAAATATAAAAAATGAAAATTAATAAGTCCCACTCCAAATCAATAAAGTGAAAAATACAAATAAAATATATTCATGAAAGTCCTTTTTCAAAAGAAAAAACTTTTGACCCGTGTTTCCACTGAAATAGTGCTCAAATACCACACCAATATCAGATATTGGTGAAAAAACGCCTTTTAGGGTTTTTTTGGGATCCTAGACCCAGTCAATATGCCTCCAATCACCAGATATTTTTGGATCTCCCCTACTCCAGACAGGAATATAGCCAGCCTCCAACCTCCAGGATCACCAGACAGCACTCTCCAAGAAAACGTTTTGAATAATGTAGAAAAAAAAAACCAAATATACAGTATAGTGTAATACTGCAATACTCGGGCAGAATCAATTTCCAAGTACCAAACCACTCACAATGTGCGGCGTCCCCGGGGACCATCTTGCTTGTGGGTGCTTCTTGTGCTGTCATCTGTTGCTGACCATGAGATCTCAAAAATACCCTGGTGATGTGGCATTTTTGGCTCCATTTGAAATACAATAAATGCTGATTATACTTTTTAAGAATGTGAGTGGTTTGGTACTTGGAAATTGATTCTGCCCGAGTATTGCAGTATTATACTATATATTTGTTTTTTTTTCCTGCAATATTCAAAACTTTTTCTTGGAGAGTGGTGTCTGGTGACCCTGGAGGTTGGAGGCTGGCTATATTCCTGTCTGGAGTAGGGGAGATTCAAAAATATCTGGTGATTGGAGGCATATTGACTGGGTCTAGGATCCCAAAAAAACCCTAAAAGGCGTTTTTTTGTTTTTTTTTCACACCAATATCTGATATTGGTGTGGTATTTAAGCACTATTTCGGTGGAAACACTGGTCAAAAGTTTTCTTTTGGAATAGGACTTTCATGAATATATTTTATTTTTATTTTTCACTTTATTGATTTGGAGTGGGACTTATTAATTTTCATTTTTTATATATTTTTTTATATATTTTTATTAATTATCATTTATTTAATTTTTCACTGCAGTGTATATTAATTTTTATTATATACTTGCGCTTTTTTGATGTTTTATATATTTTTAGAAATCTTAGAAGAAAACCTGTTAGAGTCTGCAAAAGACTTGAGACTGGGGCAGAGGTTCACCTTCCAGCAGGACAACGACCATAAACAGCCAGAGCTACAATAGAATGGTTTAGATCAAAGCATATCAGTCAAAGTCCAGTCCTAAATCCAATTGAGAATCTGTGGCAAGACTTGAAAATTGCTGTTCACAGACCCTCTCCATCCAATCTGACAGAGCTTGAGCTATTTTGCAAAGAAGAAGGGGCAAAAATGTCACTGTCTAGATGTGCAAAGCTGGAGACATACCCAAAATGATTTGCAGCTGTAATTGCAGCGAAAAGTGGTTCTACAAAGTATTGATTCGAATGGGCTGAATACAAATGCACTCCACACTTTTCAGAGATTTATTTGTAAAAAAATTTGAAAACCATTTATCATTTTCCTTCTACTTCACAATTATGTGCCACTTTGTGTTGGTCTATCGCATAAAATCCCAGCAAATACATTTACGTTTTTGGTTGTAACATGATAAAATGTGTAAAATCTCAAGGGGTGTGAATACTTTTTTAAGGCACTGTACATTTTATTAATGTACAACAAAACAAAGGCTGTGGTATCAAATAATACGGTAGATTATAATGGATATCAGTGATGTGAGCTTTCTGATAAAATGTTGCCCCTTATTTTTTTAACCTCTGCCCAGCCTCCCTCCTAGTTTTAAACTCACCTGTCTGTGATCCAGCTGTGCAGCTGCCCCGGCACAATACAGCCTCTTTTTCAGAATCACCCTCTCCAGGTCCAGGCATTTGATATTTGACGTTGAATAGAGACTACAACACACGTGCATGGGCCATGTGGCAAAGATTCTGTGTCCCCATGTTGGGGGCAGAATGGGAGTTTCAAAAATCAGTATAACTGCACTAAAGGTGCAGTTACACTTCAATCTGAAATTTGCATGTGCATACAGTTGTGCTCAAAAGTTTGCATTCACTGGCAGAAATTGTGGAATTTTGGCATTGATATTGAAAATATGACTGATCATGCCAAAAAAATGCTCTTTTATTGAAGGATGATGATCATATGAAGCAATTTATTATCAAATAGTTGTTTGGCTCCTTTTTAAATCATAATGATAGCAGAAATCCCCCAAATGGCCATGATCAAAAGTTTAGATACCCTGGAATGTTTGGCCTTGGTACAGACACACAAAGGTGACACACACGGGTTAAAATGCCAATTCGAGGTTAATGACCCACATGTGTGGCTTTTTAAATTGCAATTAGTGTCAGTGTATAAATAGTCAATGAGTTTGTTAGCTCTTACGTGGAAGCACTGACTAGGCTAGATACTGAGCCATGTGGATCAGAAAGAACTGTCAAAAGTCCTGCGTTACAAGGTAATGGAACTTTATAAAGATGGAAAAGGACATAAAAAGATGTCCAAAGCCTTGAATATGCCAATCAGTACTGTTAAATCACCTATTAAGAAGTGGAAAGTTCTGGGATCTCTTGATACCAAGCCAAGTACAGGTAGACCAAGAAAGATTGCAGCCACTACTGCCAGAAGAACTGTTCGGGATACAAAGGGAAACCCATAGGTAACCACAAGAAAAATACAGGCTGCTCTGGAAAAAGACAGTGTGGGTGTTTTGAAGGAGCACAATATGATGACACTTGAACAAAAATGAGCTGCATGGTCGAGGTGCCAGAAAGAAGCCTTTACTGCATCAATGACACAAAAAGGCCTGGTTAGGCATGTCAAGGTGTTGTCAGGCATATTGTAACCGGACTTTTTTGTGGCATTGGTGCAGTAAAAGCTTCTTTCTGGCACCTCGACCAAACAGCTCATTTTTGTTCAAGTATCACCGTATTGTACTCCTTAAAAAACAACCACACCATCTTTTTCCAGAGCAGCCTGTATTTCTTTTGAAGTTGCCTGTGGGTTTTGTTTGAATCCCAGACAATTCTTCTGTCAGTTATGGCTGCAATCTTTGTTGCTTTACCTGACCTTGGCTTGGTATCAAGAGATCCCCGAACTTTCCACTTATTAATAAGTGATTTAACAGTACTGATTGGCATATTCAAGGCTTTGGACATCTTTTTATGTCCTTTTCCATCTTCATAAAGTTCCATTACCTTGTTAAGCAGGACTTTTGACGGTTCGTTTCTGATCCACATGGCTCAGCATCTAGCCTAGTCAGTGCTTCCACGCAAGAGCTAACAAACTCATTGACTATTTATACACTGACACTAATTGCAATTTAAAATGCCACAGATGTGGGACATTAACCTCTAATTGGCATTTTAACTCGTGTGTGTCACTTTGTGTGTCCGTACCAAGGCCAAACATTCCAGGGTATGTAAACTTTTGATCCGGGCCATTTGGGTGATTTCTGTTATCATTATGATTTAAAAAGGAGCCAAGCAACTATTTGATAATAAATGGCTTCATATGATTATCATCGTTCAATAAAATATTTTGGCTTGATCAGTCATATTTTCAATATCAATGCCAAACATTCACAAGTTCTGCCAGGGTATGCAAACTTTTGAGCACAACTGTATCAGGAGGACCCAGATTTATTTCTAGCAAATATTAATCAATTAAATTTTGTACATTTGAAAATGCAGACTTGTTTTTTTTTTTTTACAATCTACTAAGTATAATATAACCACAAATTTTCACAGCTTTTACAGCAAAGATTTCTTTCAACAAACTAAAGTTGATCTGTTAAAAGCACTTGATCAGAAAAAACAACCAAAGAGCCTTTGATTCTCACATAATTAATGGCAACAAACATTGTTACACTTACATTCAATTTGAGAAAGGTATTCCTTGAACTTTCACGCACCCAAATATTAGTGCATTTTAGTAGTAGTAGTAGTAGTCATGTGCCCATGGTATCAGCTAGGGTGGCTCATGACTATATTATAGGTGTCGGGTTTTACATGGCTGTTCAATGGTTGAGTTGAATGGCATCTATACATAACTTATTGACTATTCTGCAAACCATTGACCTGAAGGTCAGAGGTTAAACAAGTGTGACCAGCAGTAATTAAAGTCAAACTCCGGAAAGATGGTTGTAATGTAGTAGAGGCTTGAAGGTTAGCCTGTATCAGTTACATACACAGATCCTTTTTCACTTGCATACAATAAGCAACACAGCTGTACATGTGTGCCCATTTGTCATTGTGTTAGGTCTCTGGTGTCTGTGAATTATAGAGCAGTGGCACATAAAGCATCCACTTCTATAGACATTCTCGTAGTGTGTTCACAATATTGTCTGCAGAGGGGTAGCTATTGTTACCAACACAGTCTATTTGTCACTTTTTGTGATTCCATCACCTTCAGTAATTCACCATTACTTCAATAGAACAGTGCCAGCCAAACATTTTGAAATCTAGTCAAACTCCAGTTCAGTTTAATTATATTAGTTGTGTAAACAACGAAAACCTCTGTCTGATTATAAATGCTGTGCTAGTTGTCTATAAAGGAAAGCTATAATGGTTTAGCATCAGTGTTATTTTAGTGGGGGTTTTAAAGTGATGTTTTTGTTTGTATTACATGACAAAGAACTCCTAGAACACTATTATCTAAACCAGTGTTCTCCAAACTGCACCCCCTTGCTTGCTTTTATCCAGCCCATGGGCCATTATTCCCCCCACTGTCAGTAACAGTGGGGCATAGTTCCTGACACTGACAATGAGGCATTATTCCTCCCACTGACACCAGGGAGTCGCCCCTGTCAGGAGAACACAGTGAATACTGTGCTAGCAGTAATCACATGTAAAATCCAACAGGTTGGGGTGCCCCAGTTGATCAATCGATCAACTTGGGTACATTCAGCCTGCCCATACATGGTTCGAATCTCACCCTGTCTCTGCTGAATTAGTTGAAATTCGAACTGTGTATTACCGGCTTAAAGCTGGCCATAGGTGGATTGAAATTTGGCCGGTTCAGCGTGGACCTCCTGAATTTCAATCCATCTATGGTTGTTCCCGTTCTTGAAAAGTCGATCTAATGATTCCTCAAAATTTCCTTCCCTGACTTAAGGACTGCTTCACCTACTGCCATCCCATTGTCAATTGATGAATGTACCTTTAGTGGCCAATGACAAAGTCTTATTGGACACTGTAATGCCAAGTGGGAAATTCAGATCCTAGTAAAAGTCAAACTAAATCAGAGAGGGGCACAGAAGAAGCTTTGCAGTGTGATAAAGATAACAGAACACATCTTGTGGTGTCTGGTCTCAGGCAGCACTTTTACTTAAAAAATAAAAAAAGGAGCACAGGTTCACTTTAAACTCTAGAAATAAAAGCTGGCCCCTAAGCAGCCATACTTATTTTTTGTCAGTGTCTTATAGTAGAAGGAGGATGACAGCCTGGAGATTACACTGTAATAAAAAGGTCAGTGGATCTATCTTGACAGGTTTCCATTAAATATCTCAACTGGCTGCTCTTTTCACTTTCTTGTGACTTCATGCATGGAGAGTACATAGAGTACAATCCCTCTTTTCTTTTGTTTGCCACAGTGCACTAAATAAAGTACAGCCTGCATCAAAGAGCAGACAAGTCTCTGAAATCAGTGGTGACACTCTATGCTATGCTTGTTGGTGTATCCTGTTACCCAGAAACCTTTGCTGCAGTCTAACCATTTGCTTTTCCTGTCTCCGCAGGGGCGGATGTTGTGGACTGGCTCTACACACATGTAGAAGGGTTCAAGGAGCGTCGAGAAGCCAGAAAATATGCCAGTAGCATGTTAAAGCACGGCTACCTCAGACACACAGTAAACAAGATCACCTTCTCAGAGCAGTGCTACTATGTGTTTGGAGACCTGTGTGGGAGTGAGTATCGCTTGCCGCCTGCATTGTGTCGCGATGTAGAGAAGTAATAAACAGTGTGCGGGACATTGTCCTTTCTAGGACAGAGAGGCAGGCAGAAAGTGAATGTACCATTTCGACCTGTATGCAGCCTTCAGGAAATGGACCATGGTCACTGACCCCAAATCCATGAACCTGACACTGTGAGTCGGAGCAGAGCAAAAATAGAGCTACTGCCAATGACAATCAGTCCGGCCATTGCCAGGCCTATATAATGTGATTGCTACAGCACCAGTGCTATTGTTCACTGCAGACTTTATATATCAACCTTTTTGCATTTGAATCATTGTTCTTACCACAAGCATTATGTGCTTAAATGTGTGCTATTTTCATCACATAAAACATCACATTAGCTCATTTACAAAGGGATGACTTCATCAATGCAAATATCACATTCAATATTCCTTGTGGTATTTTAAAGTAGGATAGAAAAATAAGTTCACTAGGACTATCACATCACTAGGTTATCATACCTTAAAGCTGCCTTTCTCAACCTTTTTGCCATAGAGGAACCCTTGGAAAAAATGTTCAGGTCTTGGGGAAACCCCTTCTAAGCCAAAATCAAATATGTAATATATTGCAGCTTACCAATCATTAAATGTGATTGGTGCTTTAGTTTTCTTCTTTTTTTTTTTTATAGACTTTTTCCCTCTGTTTTGACCTGGAGATCTGGCCAGTAATACACCTCCTGTATTAGAGTGCCCCCACTTTGGATGAAGGAGCACAGGGGCACCTTTGGACAACAGAATTGTCAGTCAGGGGGAGGGGGCTGTTGGATACACTAGCAGATATAGGTACACTATCAAATTGAAGAAAACTCCAGCTCACACTGCAGAAGCAGTTACAGTTTTCTTTTGCAATGAAGGTTTTACATGAATAAAAAATCATTGTAAGCATCATGTTAGTGTTAAACTGTTACTTAAAGTAGAGCTCCACCCAAAAGGGGAAGTTCTGCTTTAAAGACTGGTGTCCCCACTCCCCGTTAAGGATTGGCACCTTTGGAGACTGGGGAGGGGGCAGGTACCTGAAATCGACAGATACCCGCTCTCACTTCCTCACTCCATTTGATTGACAGCAGAAGGAGCCTATGGCTCCTGCTGCCACTCGAGTACTGTGTGAAGAGGAACAGAGAGGAGAAGAGATACAGCCGTGCACAATGCTGGAGTGGTGGATCTATTCTCCCCTCTCTTCCCCTTCACACATTGAAGGGGGAGCAGAGAAACAGAAAATGTTTTTAACCTTAAGGCAAGAAATGCATTAAGGTAAAAACATTTTTAGCTTTAGTATCACTTTAAATGGTTTGTCTCAACACTCTAAACTACTACATATGCAGGAGAGCTTGTTCTGTTGAAAAACAAGATTTACTGGCTGGATCACCAGATGAAAATAATGTACATAAAGAGCCTAAAAAATATAACAAATGCAGCCATCACATTCAGGAATTGGAAAGCTGCAATATAATAAATGTTTACTTTGGGTTTAATACTGCTTTAAATTCCAAGTCCAGGAATTAAAAAACTACCCTTGCAGGGACACCACCTCCAACCACTTCCTTTCCTGCACTGCAAGAGTTAAATGCTTAAATTAACTTGAGGATGAGAAATAAGGTGTAATGCTAACATATGTACTCTCCCCTGGTTCGGGTTGTGGGCAGTCCCTCCCTGTCATCATGTGACCATGGCCAGGATCACTTTATAAAAGAAGCTGCAATGGACCAGTTGCATAAATGGAGGAAGCCTGCTGAGGCAAGAAGTTAGGTAAATATCACACCTTGTTCCCCTAGAGTTAACAAGCATTTGACCCTTGCAGTGCAAGAGGAAGGAGGCCCACTGCAAGGTAGTTTTTGGTAATTCCCACAGTTTGGCTTTGAAGCAAAGCTTCAGGTAGACAGCTTAATGCACAGCTCTAATACATACATCGGATAAAATAAGTATTGAACACGTCACCATTTGTCTCTGTAAATATATTTCTAAAGGTGCTATTGACACCACAGATTTTCACCATGTCAGTAACAACCCATGCAATCCATGTATACAAAGAAACCAAAACAAATACATTCAGAAATTAACTGATGTGTAATAAAATGGAATGACACAGGTCAAAAAATATTGAACACGCTAACTGAAATTTCAAATCTTGAAGGTTCTGTGGGCCTCTTCTCTGAACTCTGATATTTAGTTCTTTCCATAGATTTTCTATTGGATTCAAGTCAGGTGATTAGCTGGGCCATTCTAGCAGATTTCATTTTTCTTTGAAACCAATTGAGAGTTTCCTTGGCTTTGTGTTTGGGATCATTGTTTTGCTGAAATGTCCACCCTTATTTCATCTTCATCATCTTGGTAGATGGCAGCAGATTTTATCAAGAATCTCTTGGTACATTGTTCCATTCATCCTTCCTTCAGTGATATGAAGTTTGCCAGTACGGTATGCTGAAAACAGCCCCACACCATGATGTTCTCACCTCCAAACTTCACTGTTGGTATATTCTCCCAGTATTTCACAGTCTTGTCTAAATGTTGTGGAGCAAACGTTAAACGAGCTTCAACATGCTTTTTCTTCAGCAATGGAATCTTGGTGTGCATGTGTGCATACAGGCCATGGCACTTGAGTGCATGACTTATTGTTTTCTTTGAAACAATTGTTCCTGCTAATTCCAGGTCTCTCTAAGGCTCTCCACTGTGATCCTTGGCTCTTGGACATTTCTATTCACTTAATGTATAGATGAGTAAAACAAAACACATGTGTAGACCTGATGCTCACAATCCTGTGAAAGGAAACAGACCTCACAGCTAAGGTAACCAGTGCATTAAAATAATAAATAATGATGATTTAGCCCACAAAACCGGTGTGTGTAGAGTAAGTTCAATGTGAGTACTAGACGTCCAGTTAGATGTCAGTGGACAGTTAGAGGTCAGTCCCACTTTAAATAAAGTCCCACATGGACAAGTTCTATGAATGGACCCTGAAAGGAAAGATCTGTATACAATGGCTGGGTAGCAGGTTCCAGTGGGATCGTAGAGATGGACAGCCCACTGAAGGGAAGGGAGGGATGGCTCACTGGGGATCAGTGAGGTGGTCAGATGATGAACTCCGCAGTTCCTCGGCAGTGACAGATCAGAGAAAGATCCATTTTGACATGCAAGGGAAACAGAGTAGCCAGGGCGCAGGAGTAAGTAAAAACATAGTAACAATTTTATTAAAAACAAATATCCAGACTTACATTCTAAGTTAGGAAATTGCAGCATAAACAGAACTGGGAAGTAGACAGTCTGTCAGATGGATGACTCCAAACCACTGTAGCTGTAAGTGTGCCACTTGAAAAAAGGAGGCGGGACTTCTGAAATGCATTGTGCCCACCCACTTTCTTCCAACTCAATCCTTGGTGTACAGTTGAACTTGGAAGAGAGCTGGCAATGCTATGCCTCATGGTTCTGGGTGGGTCCCGGCTCAGTCCACCTCTCACTGACACTTACAGCTACAGTGGTTTGGAGCCATCCATCTGACAGAATGTCTACTTCCCAGTTCTGCTTATGCTGCACTTTCCTAATTTAGATGTAAGTCTGGATTTTTTGTAACTATGATTTTACTGTTTCCCATGTAATTCTTTTCACTCCTCTGTCAGAAATCTTGCGAGGAACACCTGGTCATGACGGATTTATGGTGAAATTATGTTCTTTCCACTTCGGATTATGGCCCCAACAGTGCTCACTGGAACATTCAGAAGTTTAGAAATTCTTCTGTAACCAATGCCATCAGTATGTTTTGAAGTAATAAGGTTGCGAAGGTCTTCAGAAAGCTCTTTGCTTTTATCCATCATGAGATGGTTTTTTGTGTGACACCTTTGTAGTGAGTCACTTTTCTATAGGCCATTAGTTGAGACTGAATCAGCTGATATTAATTTGCACTGACAAGGGGCAGGATTGCTTTCTAATTACTGATAGATTTTAGCTGGTGTCTTGGCTTTACGTGCCTTTTTGAAGCTCCCTTTCTGTCCAATACTTTTTTTTTCTGTTCAGTACTGTTTCCCTGTGTCATTCCATTTTATTACACATAACTTAATTTCTGGACTTTTTTTTGTATGTATGAATTGTTTTTTTTGTATGTATGAATTGCATGGGTTGTCACCGACATGTGGTGAAAATGTAATGTCAATAGCACCTTTAATATATGTACTGAGAGAAATGGTGATGCGTTCAATACTTATTTCACTTGCTGTATAAATTACCTGCCTAAGAATTTGTGATTATGAGCTGTACACACAGTTTCTGTACTGCATAGCTAGAAATATTATGGACGTTGTTCCTGATTAAGCAATTCATCTTACTGATTCAATAGCTCAGCTTGGCAGATCAGCATTACCACCTGTGAACTGTGAGCAGGGCATCATCCTAGTTGGCAGTAATGGTGAACCAAGATGTAGAGTGTTCATCCTAGTTGGCAGTATGGTGAACAAGATGTAGAGTGTTCATACTATGTATTACAAGAATGGCCAACCAAAATTACAAATCCTTTGGCAGGCAGATCAGTAATCATATATGTATTTAAATATTTATTTAGCTGTTTTCCTGGAGTTGCATTTTAACCTTTAATTAGTAAACAGAAAGACTAATTAAAGTTGAGTTTCATTTCATATTGGCTGCATACAGTTCTTCCCATATGTTCATTTTTCATCTTGTACTATTGCTTAGAATTACCCATTTATGTAAGGCCAGTATATACATTGTAAGGTCATTGTATACATTAAGTCTTTGTTACGTCTAAGTTGTACATTGTCAGCCAATTGTATATCTCGCATCAGGGCTCCATCAGAGTTGCTTGGCAATCAAAGCTGTTCTTCTGCCCGTTTATCAGATAAAAACCAGTTCTCATAAGGAATTAAAGACCAGGAAATATTCAGTTACACTAATAGAAATGTTGAAGCCAGCCGATCACTTTTCATCATTCAGTACAGTGTGTCATTTGTAAACATTGTTCATTATTACCAGTAGTACAACATTGTTCTTCTGCACTTTTAATGTCTCATGTTTAGTCAGTAAATACGATTATCCTGACTATTGCTGTACTGACCAAAAAGGCCAACAGCAACAAGTACACTTTAAACAGAAACTGTGACATTATTCTCCATGATATAACTGACACAAGTAATTTGTATTTGCTTATCAGATGTAGCGGCACTGAATCTTAACGATGGATCCAGTGGGACATCTGATCAGGACACACTTGCTCCTCTCCCTCATTCAGCCGCCCCCCCCCTGGCCTCTGAGCCAGGGCTATCCGTACCAGTACCCTCTAGTGCCACCTTGTTACCCCTCAACATACCAAGAGCCAGGATTCAGCTATGGCAGTGGCAGTGCAGGAAGCCAACACAGTGAAGGTAAGTAGAACAGGCCTCTCCCAGTACCCCCTCTTCTCATTGCCTGCCTTTCATGCTTTCTTTATTTTTGTGTCCTATGTGCTTGCATGACTGCCACTCCACAAGCAGCGACTTCAGCTTAGGCATCATTTGTCAGCCTGTGTGTGAATAGAACAAGCATTCACTTCATGTCTACTCATGGAACTCCTGATGGTGCAGTGCTGCCCTTTATAGGTGTAGCAATGTACATGAATATTCCACACTGCAAATTTGGCTTTGAGACTAGGCATAATAAGGACATCAAAACTGCCCTTGGAGATACTGCAAAAAAAAAAAAAAATGTAAAATGAGCATATGTAGTCAGAAACATATGCTAATCAGCTGTCCACATACAATACATTGATAGCGCCATATAATGAAACTGTGTAAAGAGCTACAAGTGATGTTGTGCAAAGCATATTAACCAACAGCAGTCAGATCTATGTCAAGTCAATAAAGGATAATCAGTGATTGGTTGCTGGGGGTTACTGCACTTTACACAGGACTCTTTTCCTTTTTAAATAACCATGTTATTGTAGATCTGCTTTAGTAGAACAGCTCCAGGATTATGGAAATGTGTAGGCAGCTACGGATTTGCAGTCATGTGCTTTCTTCTATAATTTAGTACAGTAACATGCTCCTTTATCCCGTGCTGTATGCCTCGCTGATAGTAACTGTGTTATTCCCTTGTTTTGTGCTGAACAAGCATTAGACTGAAGGATGCATGGAAGGAATGGAGGAATCTAGGTCATTCGGTAAGCTTAAATCTCTGGCCCAAAGACCAGAGCCCAAGCATGTCCATTTGGATCCTTGTGGCCCTTCCTTCACCCACCTAGACCATTCCCAGCCTCCCTCCAACAGACCACTGCGTAGCAGAAAAGGAAAACCATGTGAGGGCTCATTGAATAATGCACGCCCATAATCGAGTCTGCCTTGGTGCTTCTCATGTTGTGTGGTGGGTGGGGCAGTGGCAGTATGTATGGAACACTTTACTGTACTTTGAACTTGGTCAAGTCATTAAAGGACCAAACCACTCACAAGTGGTGCCTATTGGGCTGAGTCACACCTGACTACTGATAGGTCTTGGATACTCCAAGAGTGAGATCTCCTTTCCAGGATTCCAGTCCACCTTTATGTGTTGCAGAACCTCCTGTTATATTTTTCATTATATCAGATAAATAGTAAATCTAACATGGAAATGGGGAGCCCTCTCGTAATAGGCACAGCAGGTGTGCAGACCCAGGAACTCAGGCACAGAGATCTCCCTGATAGAGTGCCTGAGACATATAAGAAACTATCAGTTTCTTTAATTCTTTAGCATCCACCAACCACAGAAAATTCCCTCTAAAGCAATGTGTCTAACTTCTTCAGACGCATACAGCCATAGAACAGCTTGTACTTGCCTTGTACCTGGCGGACTAGAAAATTAAGCAGCAACCAAAGAGTGCCAGGGTAGGCTAATATAACTATGGTCCATGCATGACCTTGTCCAGATTTTCCTCATAGCCTAAACCACACAAAATCTTGTGTTGGTTGTAGACACTAATCAGCTGCAGTTTAGAATAAAATGACAAATGGAATTTGATAGATTGTAGTGAACAATACAGACAGTCGTCTCAGAGATGTTTATACCCAGAGAGCTTACCTTTTTTTGAGGGGTCGTGCACCCTGGGGTCACTTCCTAAAGACAAGCGAATTTAGAGGAACATGGTAGACGGCAGACACAATACAGAGAGCTATATCTCCACCTCGTGTCCATTTGTGATACTACAATCTCTTCACTTTGGGAATCGTTTATTGATTCAGGGGTTTAAAAGAAGAATTGGGAGAGCAAGAGAAATATCTCCCTCAAACAGTCTATTGGATTTACTGGTACCACATCCTTTGAAATCAATACTTATCAAACTATAAATCCCTAACAGAATTACTAATGTAGGATTTTAAGGGTATCACACCAAGAAAAATTACATTAATGATTAAGCTTTATTAAAAGTCTTCCATAAAAAAATGGTTTGATCTTTAAAATAGCCTCATAGGGCAATATATCCTTGCCATTCAGTGCATTAAATGTTATACTATCATTGTCAATCTGTAATATGCCAAACGCAGTTCACTACTTTTATGTGTGTGTTTTCTTGTTGCTAATGTTAGGGCTGAGCTCCTGCTACTTAACGAGCAGCTTTTTAGTGCTCAGAAGCTGCTCAGCTGTTCGTTAATTACCAGCTACTTTTTGTCTCCACAGTGACTCGCCTGGATACCATTACCTGCCTCACTAGTCCAGCCTTGAGCCAGCCCTTTTTGCTATTTTAGCAGCTTAACTCATTTCCTCCTTGCCCTTGCATGGTCTATGATCTCCAGTGTGTTCCTGCCTGTGTTTCTGTGTACAACTCGGTTTGGCTGACTTCTTTTCCAGTTCCTGTTCCTGATTTTTGGCTCCTGACCATGTAGACTCCTCGTTTCCTGACTCTGGCTCGTCTGATAACCCACTCTGGCACCCAAATTCTGGCTTCTGTTTTGACTATGTTCCTGATCTATGTTATATTTGCTATTTCATTAAAGGTGTGAACTGCAATTTCTATCTCCGCCTGGTTCATGGTTCCTGACATTACGCAAGGACCATGAATTTAGAAGATGCAGGCAGTCACAATATTTTTTCCAGATTGGACAGGCAGGACCACCGCTTGGATCAGTTTGCCATAGCATTACAAATGCACCTAATGTGAACTGCTCATCTGGATCCTCCTACCCCAGCTGCTCCGGTACAACCACTCTTGCAAGCCATCCCTGCTGCTGCTCCTATCTCAGTTCAGGCAGCTGCCTCTGATACTACCACTGTTAGAGGTATGACTGGTTCTGCTTCACTTCCCCAGTGGTTTGGGGGTGATTCAGCTCACTGCAGAAGGCTTCTCAACCAGGTTGGAATATATTTTGAGATGCTGCCCCATGTGTTCCCTACGGACAAAAGTAAAAGTAGGCTTCATTATTTGTTGTCCAGAATTACCCTGAATTTGTGGCCTCCTTTAAAAGGGTATTTGATATTCCCAAAAATCTCAACCGGTATCCCTTATAGATCTGTTAAGGATTCTTTGATAAAGTCAGAAGTGACGAGACGCGTCAATAAGTGACGTCGGACGTAGACCGGAAGTTGTCGAGCGGCCATCTTGAATGAGGTATAAAGTGAGCAAATGCTGATTTTTAAAGGAGAAAATGCTCATTTAATATGTTTGTTTGTAAGCGCTTTTTATTTGAATAGTCGATTTTAATGCAGTAATACAATATGGTTGCCTTTTTGTTCTGACCCATTATATGCTGCTATAATCGGAAGAATCTTTGGCTGAGAACTATCGCTGTTATTTCAATGCTGGAGATCTGGTGCAGCCTGATTGCTATGTGGTATGTGGAGTAAGAGTGGCAAGAGGAGCTGATATCATCCCACAGTGGTGCATTGGCTTAGTTTGGTAAGCCGCATGGTCTGTGAGTTGGCGGAATGTGACCCACTGTTCACTGGTGGCACATCTTGTGTGTGAAGAGAGCACATGTTCGCACAATATTGAGGATTAAGGCTATCATATTATAATAATAAAAAATTTTTTTGAGGGTTCATCACTTGGGAAGGACAGAAGGGGAGTCTACCTAGTGGAAGAATCCGGATGGTGGAATGTGTAATGAGGCAGTTTTTCAAGTTATTAGAGGGTAAGAGTAAGGATAACAGATATTCAAACGTGGACACATGGCGTTGAGCACAAATGTGTGTGTATCAAGGATAATACACTATGTGCATTTTATCATTTTTTTTGAGGTTATGAATGGAGGATGAAGTAGAATAATACGCATGAGAAGACATTGAATATAGAAGATATCACTTTAAAGTTATTTTGACACTAGTGACGCTGTGAGACACTTTTTTTTTTTTATTTGATATTCCCACTTGCTCCACCTCTGCTGCCAAGAGCCTCATGCCCATTAAACAGAGTACAAGAACTGTTGCTGACTACGGTATTAAATTATGTACTCTGGCAGCAAAGGTTGGTTTGAACAATGAGGCTCTCGTGACTGCTTTTTCCCATGGCCTCTCTGATAACATTAAAGATGAGATTGAAGCTGGAGATATACCTACGAATCTTGAGGAATTGATCTCGTCTGCCATTCTCATTGATACCAGACCGAGAGAGACCTTCCTTTAAGGAGCACCTGCGGAAGCCTCCTGTACATTTGCCTCTGAGCTTTGCATTCCTACCCATGCCTCCCTCACCTCCTCCAGTGAAGTAGAGCCCATGCAGCTGGGCTTCACGTCTCTCTGATGAAGAGTGGGCTTTTAGGAGAAGGGAGAGATTGTGCCTTTAGTCTTTGGTCACACCAAATCCGACTTTGAAATCATGCGACTTCACTTGAAGTCACACGATTTTAAAGCCAGATGTCAGTGCGATTTCAGGTGCGCCTTGCAAGATATCTATGCGACTTCATGCACAAATATCTATGCAATTCGCACCTGAACTTGCAAAAAAGTAGTGCATGTACTACCTTTAAAATTGATGTGACTCCGACAAAGTCAGAATTGCACCTTTATGACCAGTTCTATTGCGGAGATTAGGGTGCTACTTGTTATGCAATTTGAAACAATCAAATCACATTACAAGTCACACCGGTATGACCGGGGTCTTACTGTGGCCAAGCAAGTAACTTATTGAAGTCTTGTCCAATCTCCCTGGGAAGCGTCCCCCCCCAAAGCCCTGAAGGGGACAGACCTCAGGTGGCATCTTTGTGTTTTCCGTCCACACCCAGGCACTAGTCAATTCTGGGGCTGCAGGCTTGTTCATAGATAGTGCCTTTGTGTTGAAGCACTTGATACCGTTGCAGCCTCATGCCTCCCCACTTGCCGTTGAGGCTAGCCTGCCCATGTGACCCATGAAACCGCACCGTTGACCATGGTTGTAGGGGCTCTTCACCATGGGATAATCCAATTCCAAATCATTTCCTCAC